AAGATCAGCCATGATCTTATTAAATGGCGGGGCAGGCTCGAGGGGCCGGATGGCCTACTCCTGCTCCTAGTTCTTATGTTCTTATGTAACACTGTATTCTGCACCGTATTCTAAACCTGCTGCACTTTGTACACTACAATCTGCCCATGTAGCACGCAAAGCATCACGTTTCACACTGTATCTCAGAGCATGTGAGAACAATAAATCAAATCAACATCCTTTAGTAGCCTCTTTATGTCCCCTTTGCAACTCACTTTCTGACCTATCAGCGAATTTGGCAGGCGTACATTCAGTCTATTTGTCTAACATATTGACAGAAACTGTAAACAGTATCTCAGGACATGTGAGAAAAATCAGTCAATCAATCAAAGTGGATCTAGTTCAGAAGGAAAACATTCATGATAGTAGGAAGGCCAGTTTAGATTTGGAAGGCTCCAGACCGTCAGAGCTGGAAGAAAGTCCAAGCAGAGATTGCTGGGCTTTGGAGTTGAGCACGTTTGTGTGTGTCTTGGGTAATGGAGAGAATTACACCTGGTGAAGGTGTGAAAGGTCACTAGAAAGGAGCACTTGAAGTGTCAACAGCTGAGTAAGAAATTAACGAGAGAAAATTGAAGTGAGACTTCACTGGGGTTGAGTATCTGTCAAGGATGCGGCTGGGGGTTTAAAAAAAAGTTGCTGCTTCTATCTTTCCCAATCCCATTATCTATCTATGAATCCTTTGTGACCCCACCCCACCTCTTCCTGTTTGCTGAAGACACTAAAATAAGTGCTGAGCAAAATGGGCAGAGGACACTGAAAGTGTACCGAGGATTTAAACCGTGAGAAGGTGCAGAAGGACCTGGGTGACCTTGTACATGAACCACAAAATGTTGGTTGGCAGGTGCAGCAAGTAATTAAGGAGGCAAATGGAATATTGTCCTTCATTGCGAGAGGGATGGAGTTTAAAAATAGGGAGGTTATGGTGTGTAGGGTGCTGGTGAGGCCACATCTGGAGTATTGTATACAGTTTTGGATCTCCTTGCTTGAGAAAGAATGAACTGGATGGGGTGCAGAGGAGGTTAAGTCTGGAGTTGAGAGGGTTGGCTTAGGAGGAGAGATAGAGCAAACTGGGACCATACTCATTGGAACTTGGAAGAATGGGAGTGGGAGGAATCTTATCGAAACATATGAAGGGAATAGATGTGATAGAAGCAGGGAGGTTGTTCCCACTGATGGGTGAAACTAGAACGAGGGGGCATAGCCTCAAAATAAGGGGGAGCAGATTTCGGACTGAGTTGAGGAGGAATTTCTTCACCCAAAGGGTTATGAGTCTGTGGAATTCCCTGCCCAGTGAAGCAGGGAGGCTATTTTCTGATGAAGGGTCTAGGCCCGAAACGTCAGCCTCTCTGCTCCTATGATGCTGCTTGGCCTGCTGTGTTCATCCAGCCCTGCACCTTGTTGTCTCGGATTCTCCAGCATCTGCAGTTCCTACTATCTCTGAGGCTATTTCATTGAATGTTTTTAAGGCTAAGATAGATTTTTGAACAGTAAAGGAGTTAAGGCTTATGGTGAGTGGAGCTGAGTCCACGCAACCGATCTTATTGAGTGGCAGAGCAGGCTGAACGGGGCCGAATGGCCTACACCCTGCTCCTGTTTCGTATGTTCCAAAACATCTGTGTACACCTGACAGCCCAAACCTAACTCGGCCTATCGACCGAGAGTAGCTCACTGCAGAACGGTTATGGGGTCCGCGTTGTTTATCAGGTCTCTGGCAACGCCTCGAATTTGGGGGGACTGGTGGGCTCTTTCTCTGTAATGCGTCACCTCACCCTGACCCAGCTCTGCCACCCCAGTCTGTCGCATTTCCGTTGATGATGAGCATCTGCCTCCCAACATCATACAGCACGGAGAAGGATCTCAGACTCCACTGTGTAACTGTCTTGCGTTGACGGTTTCCATCTCTGGGCAGGGAAAGCAGAACAGACAAAATACCTTTTATGTCGACACCGTGGGATCATTCCATGCCCTGTTATAGCCTCTAGGCCAACCTAATGTCAACTTCAGGACCATCGTCTGCCCTTTCACCTTCATGCCAAGAGCCGTGGCTGAAGTTAATCAAGATATGAGCCTAAACATCCCTGATTTTAAATCTCTTCAAGCACTTAATCTCTTAATAAAAGCAAACAGTTGCATTCACAGACCCACATCGAAGACACAGAAAGGTCAATCAACCTTTGAGTGTAGGAGTTGGGAACGTCATGTTGAGGTTGTACAGCACATTGGTGAGGCCTCTTCTGGAGCACTGAGTCCACTTTTGGTCAAGCAGTTTTAGGAAGGGATGTTATTATGCTGGAGAGGGTCCAGAAGAGATTTACCAGGATGTTACCGGGAATGAGTTTGAGTTATAAAGAAAGGCTGGGACTTTTTCCACTGGAGGTTGACAGGAGACCTTACAGAAGTTTATAAGATCAAGAAAGGTATAGGTAGTTAATGGTATTTGTTTTACCCTAGGGTGGGGGATTTCAAGACTAGGGGGTACATTTCTATGGTGAGAGGAGAGAGATTTAAAAAAGACACGGTTGGAGGGTGGGGGCAAACATTTAACACGGAGAGTGGTTCGTGTGTGGAATGAACTGCCTGAGGAAGTGGTGGATGTGGGTACGGTTGCAACATTTAAAATACATTTGGATAAGTACCTGAATAGGAAAGGTTTGGAGGGACACGGGCCAGGAGCAATGATCTGGTGTGTGTACAGTTGCTTAATTTTGTCTTTTTGATGTGCATGCAGGTCTGTGTTTAAACCCCACCCCACCCAGCAGGGCACCCGATCTCTCTATAGGTCTTCGGGATGTATAGACCTCCTCAAATTTGTAAATTGCTTGAGGGGGTGCGGGGTTGGGGGGGGGGCACCAGCCCAATTCGGGGATCTCAATTAAAGAAAAGGTCTAGAATCGAGAGTTTAAATTTCCAAATATCGGGAATAAAGACCCACCTGGTTCACTAATGGCCCTTAGGGAAGGAAACATACCTGGCTCAGTTCTGGTCGCCACGTTACAGGAAAGATGTTGGAGAATTTGGAGAGGGTGCAGAAGAGGTTTACCAGGATGCTGCCTGGATTAGAGGGTATGAGCTACAAGGAGAGGCAAGAAAATCTTGGGCTGTTTTCTCTGGAGGATGAGGGGAGACTTGATAGAAGTCTATAAAATTATGAGATGCATAGATAGAATTGACAGCCAGAATCTTTTTCCCAGAGATAAAATGTCTAATGGTAGGGGGCATACACTTAAGGTGAGAGGGGGCACGTTCAAAGGAGATGTGAGGGGCAGGTTTCTTTTTTACACAGAGAGTGGTAGGGGTCTGGAACACGCTGCCAGGGGGCAGTGGTGGGGGCAGATACTACAGGGGCATTTAAGGGGCTTTTAGATAAGCACACGAATACGCAAGGAATGGAGGGGATATGGACCAAGGGCAGGCAGAAGGGATTAGTTTAATTTGGTGTCATGTTCGGCACAAGTTTGTGGGCCGAAGGGCCTGCTGCAGTACTGTGCACTGTATGAAATTTACTCAGTCTGGCCTACATGTGACTCCATCCCCACAGCAATGCTAGTGACTCTTAAACTGCCCTCTGGGCAATTAGGGATGGGCAATAAATATCAGCCTAGCCAGCGACATCCACATCCCACAAATGAAATTTGTAATGATCCGGGGGCAGAGTTTTAAGGGAAGGGGATGTAACAGAATCAATTTTCATCCAGAGGGCTGGTGGAATGAAAGGGTGTCAAGGCATTTGAAAAAGTGTTCGGACAAATGTACACAGCCGCAGGCTGAGTGCAGGGAAATGGGATGAGAACAGAGCGATTGCTTGAGGGCTAGCATGGGCAGGACGGGCCGAAGGGCCTGTTAAAAACGCTGCGACTCCCCAATCTGTGCCCTGACTGCCGTCGCCAGGATGAGAAGGCAGATCCCGCAGAATTCCATGGCGCGTGAGCGTGTGGGTCCCTCTCCTGCGCGCTCCCAGATGGTGCGATGGGAATCGGAGGGTCGCTCAGAGGCAGATCGATAGGGTTGAGCTTTACCTGACGCCGTGATTCAGCACTGTAACTGAACCTCAGCACCAACACACACACCCCGCACAGTTTCACCCCCGCCGTCAGCTAGCTCATTTCACAATCCTGGATATTTTGATCTGACACTTGGCTCCCATCCAGACAAACAGGTTCTGTGGGAACGAAGCACATTTCAAAGCACTGGGGGAATTTTGCAAAGCATCAGCGTCAGGATAGGGAGGAGAGAGGGGGATCTCAAAGATACTGGGGGAGGGGAGGAGATCTAACTCAAGGGGAATCTGTGAGGGAGTAGAGAGGGAGAGAACCCTTTCCCGTTGGGAACAGGGACCAGGCACGGACTGGGGACACACAGTGGGAGGGGATGGCAAGGGGTCGGGGTCTGCCTGGGGCTGCCAAGGGGAATGGAGTGGGGCAGGGGGGAGGTAGGTTCGATCCAAGCCCTCGCGAGGTGGGGGGGGGG